GCTGCTTCAGGACCTGGAACACCTGCTATACCTGATGGAACCATGAATTCTGCTCACTAGGACATCTGACCTTTGACCTTAAACAAGCCATTCCTGCTGGAAAAGCCTAGCCTAGTGAACTAGACCAAATTCTTGCTTTGCCAGGTTTGGTCTAGGAATGCTCCACTGGAACCTCCGCAGCCCCTAACAGCATTCTGGCTGGCCAATCACAGCTCTCTAGAGGGGTTTCAAACACATAAAGAGCTGTGATTGGTCCATAATGGTGGGCCAATCTTAATGCTCTACCTGCTTAGTGAACAAATCACAGAGCTTTATCCACTTTGTGGGCCAATCAGGGCACTCTATATGCCTGGTGGGTGGGATGATGCAACAGAGTGAAACAAGATGGCGGCAGCTCGTTTGAAACGGCTTTTACATCCATTTTGGACTATTAGAACTTGGGCTTCATCAGAATCAGGAGCAGATAGATGTATTTAAGTGCTTTTTTAAATAGAACAAATGATGTTTTCGCCTTCTTCAACTGCAGACCGCCTCGTTTACCGATAGCTGTTGCGGTGAGTGTCACATTCATTGTCCAGTAGCATGCCGAGATCATTTGAAAGACAACGGTAGAACCCGCCCCACAACCGAGAGCCTTCGATGGAGCGTTGCCAGACTAAATGATACATTTATTTAGTCTGGCTTGCCAGGCTAGGAAAAGCCTCCAATGTGGCTGAATTCAGACAATTCTGTAAAGTAGAGTGAATAAAACTCCTCAGAGATGAGACTCATCATCTCTTTCTGGTTTGTAAAGCATTCCTCCTTTAATAAAAAAAAAAATCATTGTTTAAAAACGTTATAATATATTTACTTAAGTTGTTTTTGTCCACTTATTAAAACAAGCTAAACCACAGGAAGCCTGTGAACCGGTGTTTTGATGCTGACGTTTGACTGAAAAACCCAAAAGCTCAGATTGCTCAGATTTAGAGATTATTACAGGAGAATATTTGCAACTTTTTACAGCCCAAAAAGCACAGTTTCAGGTCACATTTAGCTGCAAATGGTGTGAGTGAAATGGGAGTCATTACACCAATCGTTCACACCGAGGCTTGTACTTTCTTTAATATGCGTAGATGCTTGTGTAGGAGGGAATATTGTATCATTCATCACTCGCCATAATGTTCCTACTGTACTTTCAAGTTTAGCATTAACATTTGCCTCCTTCGACGCCTCCTTCCCCCGCATTACACGCGTTATCGATCAGCCTTAAGATCACAGAGCTCCTCCGATGTGCTTCAAACGACGTCAGCCACTTTCCACACCAACGCATAAGAGCATCCAAGGTCTCCGTACCTAAACTCATCATGTCATGCATCACGTCCTGAGCCCGAGCCCTGCTGCTGCTGCGAGGCTGGGATGTTAAGTGAACGATTCTGCTGCTCGTTATTCTACATGTTGGATGGAGCGAGGAGACGCGGAGCCGGTGTCGTGCATTACTCGGTGACCGCCTGAACCTGCAGCCTCCCTTCACACAAATCACCGCTGAGGTGATGATTTACTGCAGCGGGATGCGGTGCTGCTTCACCATCGCATGCGTGCAGATGGAGCTCTGCATGCATGTGGAGATGCACACATGATGAATATTCTCACACACACACACACACACACACACACACACCCTGTAGTCTTGTCTTTGCTTCAGGGCTGACGGAGACCTTTACATAAGTGAGTAAACAAACATCGTCTGACTTTCAGCATCTCTCGTGACCGCTCCTCCCGACGATAACGTAGTTTTTTAAATCCCAACGTTCCTTTAAGGTTTTGTTTGAATTACTGCAGCAACTGCAAACCTGGGATTTAGCAAGGATAAAACTCTCCAAGCACACCTGAACGTTTCAGGAAGAGGAGTTCGGGTTTAGGACCATCTAGAGGCTTTGTGAGCTCCGATGGCGTTTTAGGCTCGTTCACTTCGAGCGTGGAGCGGATGTGGACCGGACTCCATGGCTTCTGCAGAGAACAGAAATCCTTCACACCAGCTGCAGAGCAGATCCGGATGCAGAGCGGAAAGTTGTTTCCACATGGAGTCTACGTTTTCCAGATGTGGGATGAGGCAAAAGAAATGACATTAATGAAGCAGACAGGAAGTGAGATGCGTTTCAGCGAGGCATAACCATTATATTTCAAAATAAAAGTTGTGTCTCTTGATTTTGTCGGTTTTGGTGTTATCATTAATGACGAGGACGTCAGTTCAGTCTGTGATGGTTTTTTCACACGTACACCATTTTACATCAAACTTCCAGTCATTCGGTGCTCCTGTGGGAGCAGATATCCCGAGACAAACCGTAGTGGGAAGTTCGTCTACGGAGACCGGACCGCCTCCGCACCGTGGTCAGTGTAGACGAGCAGTTAGTCTAGTTCTTTAAACATTTAATAAATCTGAATGTAAGAAATTAGAATTTAAATGATTTAGAATAAAGTAGAATAGATTTTACAATAAAACTGTCGGTTCAAACCCAGCTCTATGCCAGTCACTCTGCCACTGTGCCCTTGAGCATCTTCTCTTAATGTAAATGGCAGCCTTTCAGTCAACCACCAGAGAGTAAATGAGTGAATGAACATCTGGTTCTCCATGCCATGAAAAGCGCCACGGATCATAGAAATAACAGTCAGAATAAAACAAAGTTTTTAAAAAACACTTTTCTAACTATCAGGGACATCCGTCCCTTTAGGCAAGTCATCCGTTCTGGGAATTGCTGAGCGGCTGCAAACACACACAGCTCCAGAACGACGTCTAAAAGGAGCCTGGAAAACGACAAACACGGGGTGATTTACTGCAACACAAGCCGCTTCTGAACAACACGGCCACACTTCACCCTGTTGGTCGACGATGAGTTAAAAAACCTCACATCACTTCTACTCAGTACGAGTTTTTTATTATTAAACAGCCCAGCTGAGCAAAGGTTCTGTTAGGAGTTCATCACATGAATAGATTCAGCTTCGGCCCAAACCTAGAGCATCATCATTTACAAATGGAAACTAGCAGCATCATCTTTTTGGACACTTTGCTCACAGGTTTCTGTGTAAAGAGTAAAATGTCGTGGTCCGTTTGGTTAAACATAGCAGGCAGGGCTTAAAAATAACAAACCCAACCACTAGGGGTCCTTATGTTGTTCCAGGTTGCACTCATACGTTTACAGTATAATGTCCACGTCCAACAGGGATCGGTAGTCCTGTGTGGACCAGGTAGGCTGCATCCTTCGAAGGCTGCAGCCCTTGAATTTGGACCCCCCCACCCCCCCCCCCACCCCCCCACCCACCACCACTACAACAGACTGTTGCCCAACTGGAAATTTTGGATGAACTCTTTTCAAAATGTGGTCATTTTTCCATCAACAAGACCAAACAAAGATCATCCACGTCCTGAAAAAGGCAAATGACACTAAAGATAAAGGCGACCCTTTTGTTTACAACCCAACTTAGTGGACTAACTGGCTTTGTCTCCATCTCCAACAACAGTGAGCCAAACGCTGACAACGTATACGAACAAACACGTGTAAACACGCTGCTGCAGTGTAAGATAAGCAATTAGCATCCAGAGCTACTCTTCCAGAGCCTTCAAGTGGATCTTGGAGCTTTTGTTTTTGCTGTTTTTAGGAAATAAGTGTCTTCCATCAGACCAGAAGTGTGTGTGTGTGTGTGTGTGTGTGTGTGTGTGTGTGTGTGTGTGTGTGTGTGTGTGTGTGTGTGTGTGTGCAGGGCTAAGCGAGTCTCTGGCTGGCAGAGGCGTTGCGGGTGGGCGGCGATGGCTGACTACAAATGAGAGCACACACAATGCACGAGTCTAAATGGTCACAGACGTAATGAGTGCATCCTGCTCTACCCCCTTAAGAACATGCAGAGCGTTTGCATAAAACACACATGTTGATGCATCTTCTGCAAAGCTACACCAAAGCAGACAGGACGCAGGAAGCGTGACGTTGACTTGATTCCAGATCCGCAGGAGATTACTCACAAAAACAGCATGAAACAGATTCATAACAGCTGATTTATGAGCTACAAGTGCATTTAGGCCAATAAGAGTTCAAACACACACCAGGCATTTGGATTTGGTGCAGAAGCTTCGAGCAGAGCTGGTGTTAATCGTGGATTAGCTTCAAAGGAAGCTAAAATATTTCCTCATTGCTGCATCTCAATATTTGACCACCAAATGAAAATGTAGTCTGCAGTCATGAATACTTAATTATATTCTGAACAGACTCCAAAACACAAGATTAGGTTCTGTGAATCCAAAAAGAGAGAGTTTAACGCTGACTAATGCTAACTAGCTTCCTCTGTAGGGTGGCCAGGCTCAGTCTTAGAGGTAAGGCGAGGAGCCCAGAGTAGAGCCGCTGCTCCTTCTCATCGAAAAGACTCACCTCAAGTGGTTTGGCCATCTCCTGGAGGTTTTCCAGGCACAGAACCAATCAGCATTGTAGCTTCCCTTTAGCCTAGGGATGCTCAGACATGGACGGTACACTGTACCTCTAATGAAGGACTTTCTCCCCTGGTTTCTCTGTAATCTCTAATCCTAAAGTAATCAGGAATTCTCCAGGCTTTTCTAAAGGACATGAAACTATTTTCTTTGGATCAGCTTTGTCGCTGCACTCGACCATTTTCTGAAGATGTGAGCTGAATCTGTTAGTACCACTCTGCGTTGACCCGACCTTGGGTATGCGATGAGAAATATGTTTATTTTCCATCCTAACCTTTATTTAATGAAGAAAAACTAACCTGTAATACAAATCGCATTTGCAACCACAAATCAGATGGAAAACACTTGCTGCAGTTCCTCTCCTGTACAGCAGGGGCCACTGCTGAGACATCTAAATGCTTTCTCTAGATCTAAAACTACAACTTTTAAACTTTCATGCCTCACGTTTTGACTTTGTGAATTTTTTGTGGAGTATTCCAGCGTTCAACATGTTTTTCTGCACAAATCTGAAAAGGATGAGATTCAGATAACAGCTGTTCCCTGTACTCACCCGGTGATTCGTGGCAGCGTGTCGGTCGAGACGAGGGCCTGGGGCGGCTTGTCTCGCTCCAACAGCCGGATGGTGTACTGCCCGCTTTGTTTCGGGTGGAAAAACACGGCCATGTCCAGGGTACACAGGCCCTGACCCCCCCAGAGCCACGGACTCAGCGCCCAGGGGCCTCCGAAGGCCGACCCGTTCACCCAGAAGAACTGACCTTAAGGAGCAAAAGACAAAAACAGAAATCACAAACTTAAGCTTTGTAAAGATGAGAACGCCACTAGAAGCAGATAGAGTTTCAAACCAAAGATAAAAATGTATTTAAATGGATACTAGGGAGTTTCTGCTTAGGGATGGGTACCATTGACATTTGAATCGATTCGGTACTAATTCCCGGTACCTAGGAATCGATACCGGTACTTAACGGTACCAATTTTAGATACTTTTGAGTGTTTAATATTTTTATTCTCTTTTATAATTAAATATATATTTTTCTCAATATATAACCATATTTGATAAATATCACGATAAATAACATACAACTGTTTGTATTTTAACATCGTCCTTGTAGTTTTATAAGCTGATAATTAAACTGAAGCAAACATCTTTACTGTGAACTAAATTTACTGTGTATCTTCATTCCTTTTACCGTCTTTTTTTCATTTGATTTTTCCTACTGGGAAGTTAGAATTTCCGAGGAGAAAGCGAACGCACCATTAGCTGATAACAATGGTGGCAATGGAAGCTAACATATCAAGCTAACAGTTGCAGATTAAAACGATGATGCCTCACACTTAGACCATTGTCGCTGGTTTCATCTTCACCCAATCACCCGCCGCATTTAGTAAAGTGAAGCCAAACTTTCGAACGCGTTCATGTTCTTCTAGTCGGAAATTCGGAGTTCCGAGGAGAAAGCGAATGCACCATTAGCGAAACAGAAGCTAACATATCAAGCTAACGTTATCTTAAACATTTTATTTACCTACCGGAGCAGATTAAGATCAGGATGTCTCACTTAGATCGTTGTCGCTGGTTTCATCATCACCCAGTTACCCATCACATTTAGTGAAGTGGACCCAAGCCTTAGCGTGCGTTCTTTCTACCATGCTGCTCTGTTTACAACTCGCTCGCAGCGACCAACATAACGCTCTTGCGCATGCGCAGCTGTCTAGGCAAGTTCTCATTATGAAGGACGGGTACCGAAACGAGGCACCGTTTCAAATGACGTGAATCGGTGCTCGGTCGGTACTATGGAATTCGGTCGATACCTTAAAAAGTACCGAATTCGGTACCCATCGCTACCCCCTACTGTCCATTTGGTAGAACCAAAAGTGAAACACCTTCATCTAACAGCTGAGATGTCTCCCCAGCCTTCATTAAAGTTAAAGTTAAAGTCCCATCAGTTGTCACACACACTGATGTGTGTGTGACATTTGTTCTCTGCATTTGACCCATCCCCTGGGGGAGCGGTGGGCTGCAGACACAGTGGCGCTTGGGACTCATTTGGTGGTTTAACCCCCCCAATCCAACCCCGTAATGCTGAGTGTCAAGCAGGGAGGCATTGGGTCCTTATTTTTCTAAGTCTTTGGTATGACCCGACCAGGAATTGAACCCTCATCTCCTAGTCTCAGGGCGGACACTCTACCACTAGGTCACTGAGCTGGTAATGTCTGCAATAGTGAATCATAACTAAAACGAACAAGTCTGCTGTGTTCATTATCTAAAACATGCAAGAAACGTGCTGGAAGCAGACTCCAGCGCAGGTACCTCAGCTCCACTTTCCTAAGTTCAGCAGTAATGGGAGCGGCACTCTGAAGTTGCAGGTGCGATACTCTGGCCACAGAGGGCGGTGGGGGTCAGAGTGGCATTTCCTTAACCCTGTAAAGGGTCATTTTAGCACAGACTGGCGTTACATTATCGATGCTGTCTAATCAGCCCCTTGGTATGCCACACCTGTGAGGTGGGATGGATAACCTCGGTAAAGGGAAAGCGCTCACTGACACTCGTGGGCAGATTTCAGAGTCACGGGTCTTTTGTGCACGTAGACACATTTTCTAACAGAAACGACGCTTGTAGAAGATCCTGACAGGAGAGTTTTAAGGCTCCTGCTTGAATTGGAAATGCATGAAATAAAACAGCTTTGAAAAGGAGCCGTCAAGGACACCCAGCACTCAAATAAATACGAAACCCAGATCTTTTGTTTCAGAGCCGAGGTGCTCACCCAGCAGCTGATCAGAGACAAAGGTGTTGAACGTGTGAGAAGAAGCTGACAGGAGGTAAATCTAATACTCATTAAAAGGCGGAGAAGAAACGTCTGTTTGATGTTTAAATATGCAAAAAGAAAATCTGAACTTGCTTTGCTTCATCAGTCATTTACGGCGAGTTTATGTCCGACGCAGCTGCAGGAATGAAATCTAGTCCTCTTCAGCAGAAGCTTCATGTATGTTCCTGGTGACGTGTTGTTCCTCCGGACGACGGAGATCCGATCGAGCGACAGGCCAAAGGGCGTTAATGTTTACAACCCTTTAAATCTGATTCATCAACATTTGAGAAAGAATTCATACAACCCGGCCATTTTATTAGGGAAAGCTAGCGAATTTACAGCATAACTAATCAACCAATCGGATGGCAGCATTCACTCATCTACACCACCTGCTGAAGTTCAAACCGAGCATCAGAACATGGAAGAAGGGAGATTTAGACAGACTGCTCTAATCTACTGGGATTTGAACCCACAACCATCTCTGTAGTCTACAGAGACTGGTCAGACTGGCTCCAGATGGACTCCAGCAGCAGATGGACACCAGGTGTCTCCTGTCACCTAAGAACAGGAACCTGAGGCTACAATTCCCACAGTACAGTACCACCAGAACTGGACCAGAAGAGACAGAAAACCCTTTTCCGGGTCTGATGAGTCTGGACTTTTGCTGCATCTTAACCCAAACCCATCTTCTGACTGGTTTCCAGAACATGGCCATGAGCTCACTGGACTCCAGCGGCTTTCACAGTGACCGGATCTCAGACCAGCCCAGAACCTTCGGGACGTGGTAGAACGGGAGCTTCTCATCACGGATGGAGCGGATGCTGTCATGTCAGGATGGATCAGAACCTCTGAGGAACATCGTCGGATCCATGACAAGATTTAAGGTGGTTCTAGAGGTAAATCATGTCCAAGACACCCGTTTCAAGTAAAAACGTCTCTTTCCCTCCTTCCTTCTTTGAAACCTTCTATCCGTCTGTCATGAACTCATCGCAGCATGATTTGTTATTTTCTTTAAGAACTTCCTGTCACATCTCTCTCCTCCAGCCTCTGAAGATCCTCGTCAGTAAATGGTCGGTTGTGTTACTTCAGCACAGCTTGTTCTTTTGCTGTGAAGAAGCTCTTTATAGGAGCGTTTAGATTTACCATCCTTCTGAAAAACACGGAGCACGTGTCTAAATGACTGTTTCATTTGGTCTAAGACGATAAACCCAAACGAGTCCATAAAAGTCGTCTAACTACACGTAACACAGGTTTAGGTCTGGAGGTCAAAGGGGAATGGACACCAGGACCAGATTCAGTTTCAAATCCATTTTAGAATAAAAATATTAAAAAAGCTTCCTTTCATTTAGCATTTTTACTGCTTTACTTCATGTTTGCATTAGTTGAGAACTAAGAGTCTCTGGGTGGCTTTAAGGCTGCAGACAACAGGTAGATGACCACTCAGCTCCTGCTTCAGGTCTTCAGTTTGTCTTTACTGGAAACTAGGACTCACGGTTGGCTCCTCTTTCTGAGGGTCTGGACTCGCATTTAATTCTAAGGAAACAACGTTTTTATTCTTCATTTCTTTCAAACTCATGTCTGTTATAATTTGACGCCCGTTTGGAGAGTGGGACAACCTCGTTATAGCAACAGAACGAGGATCACAGACCATTAGTGTCCTCGTTCTCACGAGTGTTCCTTCCACTTTTATCCTCGGCGGATTTTTATCCGTTGAAGTTCTGGAACTTTTACATTTTTAAGACCTTTAAATTGGAGCTTTCCACTCAAGCCTAATTTGTTCTCCTTTCAACATTTGCATGTTTTCTATAGCGGGTCAGGGTAAGGAGGTGGTGGCCGACTGGTGGTGCGTTTCCTAAACTCCCAGCAGCGATTCCACATAAAGGTTGAAGCTTGAAAATGTCTCCGGGGCCACCTATTGGACATATCTGGTTTACACCTACTGTTGACATGTTTATTTTTATATCATCATTATTATTATGAATAATACAAACGTCTACTAAAAAAGAAATGTGCAGATTGTACGCTTTGCTGCTAAATGTAGCTAAAAGAGGCGTGCTATCGATAAAGATGTTGCTATTTCTGCTAACCAACTTGGTGTTAGCTAGCAGGTGACACTAAATGTGTTACAGATAGCTAGCTTTGCTGCTAACTTCTGCTAGCAGTGTTGCAAGCTTTTGCTAAACTTAAATTGCTAACACTTTTTAGCTTTGTTGGTACAGTTAGCTAGCTCTGCTGCTAAAAACTATAGATTTCTGTGTTAATAAACGATAAATTCTACAGCTGTGATTAATAAAGTTTTACAGGAAGCAGATTTGAGCCAGTAGCTGTAACTAGCGTTTAGCTCACCGTTGTTTAAATCAAAGGTAATCTCCATATTTTCTTATTTGTTTCCACCAACTTGTTTGTTTTTACATCTTTTTAGATCCATTTTTTTTATTTTTGACGCTTTGACTCACAAACATCAGTTTAATCCACCATGTTGATTTCTATCTCTGAAGAAGGGAGGCGCTGCCTCCAAAACATGTTGCTTTCCAACATCGATTCTAGTTTTTTTTGTATCATCAAATCAAACCAGCGAACACTTTTTCTCGCCTTCTCTGCTGTTTGCAGATTCAATCAATCCGGCGTCTCGTCGACACGGCAAAGCAAATCAGGTCAACTGTTTGCAAGAACAGAAATCCTTCAGGTAAGAAAACGGCAACAACAGGGCTGGAAACACTGGATTCTCTGCCACATCCAACTAAATGAACTAGCTGGCCACCGAACATTTAATTACCAATCAGACACTAGCGGACACGTTCTGCAGCCTGACTGAAATCCATGTTGAGAATTTATAATGAACATTTATTTTAAGTTAAAGCCACATTAAAGAGAATAAATGAAAATGTGATTTAGAAAGAAAAGAAACGCACACGCTCGCGGCTGTCCCTCTCTGCTGTGCTTCAGCTCTGGTT